GAGATAGAGAGCACGAGAGGGAAGAGGGTCAGAGGGAGAAGCAGACTCCCTGCTGAGCAGGGAGCCCGATGTGGGACCCGATCCCGGGACTCCAGGATCCTGACCTGAGCCGAAGGCTGTCGCTTAACCAACTGAGCCACCCAGGCGCCCATCTACTGGATTATATTATCCACATAGGTTCAGGAGAAGTGTTTTTTTTTTTTTCTTTTTTCTTTTTTTACAATTTTTCTTTTTTTTTAATTCACTTGAGAGAGAGTGGGAGAGGGGGAGAGCACAAGCAGGGGAAGCAGTGGAGGGAGAAGCAGACTCCCTGCTGAGCAGGGAGCCCAATGCGGGGCTTGATCCCAGGACCCTAGGATCATGACCTGAGCCGAAGGTGGATCCTTAACCAACTGAGCCACCCAGGCATCCCCAGAAGTGTTTTTATTAGCTCTTTCCTTTGCTGCCTCACACCAAGAACTCAGTCATTGTCTACATTAGCTGCTGGTATGCATTTCTCACATACAGGACAGCCAGGAGAATCTGAACATATTTAACCTAGGTATATTGCTTGTCTCAAATCTAAAAATTAGAATAGAACATTAGGTAGAAATATGAATAAAGCCTGGACTTCTTTTTGCTACTAATAGTGTATCAATATTGGTTTCTTGTGACAAGTGTACCATACACTTGCTAACAGTAGAAAAACTGGGTGTGGAGTGCATGAGAACTTCCCTCAACTTTTCCATAAATCTAGAACTATCCTAAAATTTAAAAAATTAATGGAAAAAAGTCTAAAAAATGTAAAAACAAGTCACCCTGAAACTTCAAATATAAGACATGTAAGGTCTCATTCCCACTTAGTCAATATGTGTTTTAGTCAGGTATAATATAGAAGGAAAGTCTAAACATGTTCACAATTTACAACACTGAGGCCTTTTAAAAAATGGTTCGTCCTGTTGGACATAATGTATATGGCGCTTGGTTAGGCGTTATTTGTTACACACAGAAATTATAGGTGGAGAAAGAAGAATTTAGAGGCTTTCTACAACTATGATCCTGAGTAATTTAATATGATAATCAGAATCAAAAGGAAATTGCTGTCTTGACCCCCTCCTTTTTATAGGACTATGTGACAAGACTTACTTATAAGGGGAAAGAACAGCTGAGGAATCATGTTCTCAGTGACAGCTGATACCCTCTGCGCCCAGATCTTCCAAGTGTTCCTCATGCTTAACTGTACCATTTGCTGTATAAGTTTTTTAGATGTTTACCAAAATGCAGGGGGATGGCAGAGAAGGGAAAAATTTATTACTGAAGGTGGCTCATCATATTCTACCTTCTAATTTCTTTGTGTTTTTTTTAAACCACATGGTCAAGGTTTGCCACACATTAATCTGTTTCTTGTATGATAGTGTGGGTTTGTAGGTTCTTTTGGCTAAGGTAAAATACATGTTTTATGTTAACTATACTGGAATTAAAATTAAATTAAATTATAAATAAAGAAATACTTCTTTTCCACTTGGAAAGGCTAGGTCTGGGGAATGAGAACAACCAGTATTTCTCCTTCATTTTACTGGTCTTTTCCACAGCCTAACATGCTTAACCATTGACTAGACAACCACAGGGACAGATGTATTCCACACATATGGCCATCTATTATATTCTAGGTCCTGTTATAATAGGCATTAGGATTACTGGGTGAATAAGACAGATTGGGTCCTGGTCTCTTGGACTTCTGTTGGAGATTAGGGGCTATAAAAGTCAATGATCAACTACATGAAATGATTGCACATTGTCACAAGGACAGACATAACTCATTTTACTGTGCTTTGCTTTATTGTGATTCACAGATAGTGTGTGTGTGTGTGTGTGTGTGTGTGTTTGACAAATTGAAGGTTTATGGCAACCCTGTGTCGAGCAAGTCTACTGGCGCCATTTTTCCCAATAGCATTTACTTACTTCATGTCTCGGTGTCATGTTTTCATAATTCTCACAATATTTTTAGCTTTTCATTATTATTATATTTATTATGGTGATCTGTGTTTAGTGATTACAGCTTGCTAAAAGCCTGGATGGTGGTTAGAAGTTTTTTAGCAATAAAGTATTTCCCAATTAAGGTATGTACATTTTTTTTTAGACATTAAGCCATTGCAACTTAATAGACTTCGTATAGTGTAAACATAACTTTCATATGCACCAGGAGACAGAAAAAATTCACTGGACTCACTTTGTAGTGACGTTTGCTTTATTTTGGTGGTCTGGAACCAAACCAGCAACATCTCTGAGCTATGCCTGTAATACAAAGAAAACAAGCCCAGTACTGTGAAAGTAATGAGGTGAGGTAGGGTGGACACTCACTTTACATAGGCATTTGGGAGGAGATGCCATTTCAGCCTAGAAAGAGACCCTATAAAGAAAGGTACTTACTTTCTACTTCCAGATTTCCTGAGAATTTTACTTAGAGCAGAAGTAATGATACCATATAATTTGCAACTGTTTGTTATTAACCATTTACAAAATGAGTTCAAACTGTATAATGTAAAAATAAAAGTAAAATGTATATACCCTTCAAGTCAGCAATTCCAATTCTTCGTAATTATTAATGATTCTCCACCTTGGTTGCATATTAAAATTACCTGGGGAGATTTTATTAAATACCCATGCCTGGGTTCCACTCCCAGATTCTGATTTAACTGGTCTAGTGGAGGGAGAGGCTGGGGAGCATGGGCAGCGGTATTTTTGAAAGCTCTCCACATGTTTTTAACGTGAAGCCAGATTTGAGAAACGTTAACTATAAATACTCACACCTATGAACCAGGAGCCTGAACAAAGATGATACTACAATATTGTTTCTAATAGGAAGAAGATCACAACATGAATGCTTGTCAATAAAAGTTGGTGAAACTGACATGGTACATGTGTTTTTTTCTATTCAATTCTAAGGAATAATGAGGTAGGCCAATATATTCTGATATAGAAGGATCTGTAAGACATGAAAATAGCAAGTTGCAGAATATGGTGTATAGTTTGATACCATATGTATAAATATACTCACAAAAATCTATGTAATTCTGTACACACGTATGATGCATATCTGTGTTGGCTACTGTTCAGATAGGGGAGAAAAAGAGTTGGGAACTTCAGAAAGATGCAAGCTGAGTGTAGGTTCAGGGATAGTAGGGAAAGATTAGGAAGACTACCTCCTATAATGCCTCAGGACAATGAAGCATGATGTCAAGACTTAGGATATGAATTTGAAAATGATGTCACTGTGTTTCCTAAAATGGTCATGGCTAAGTGTGTTGCAGTGGAAAGGTGATAGCTGAAAATGGCTTGGGATCTGGAACGAGAAGGTACAGGCACTCATTTCCACAGTCTCACTCATTGTTAAGTTCTCCCTTTAACGGCTCTCTCTCTCCCTCTCCATGCTTTCTCAGTTGTGCCCGATTTGTGGATCTCTGGGATACATACTCTACATAGACACACACACACACACACACACTACAAGGACTTACAGGCTCAATGACACACACACCCTACGAGGACACACAGACTCACTGACACACACACACACACGCACACACACACACACCGTACAAGACACACAGACTCATTGGTATGCACATGCGCGTGCACACACAC